CCCCCCCCCCCTCTCTCTTTCTCTCTCTCACACACACACACACACACTCTCTCTCTCTCTCTCGTATCTCACCAGTTGAAGAAAGAAAGCACCGGTGATTGTAACACCGGTCTAGGCTGCTCACCACAACGACTGTCGCCATAGACCACCACAACCCCACCGAAAATCATCCTCGTCTGTCTTGGTCGAGCCCCACCACCATTCCCTTACTGTTTCTGTCGAGCAAGCTGCCAGGCACCACCCTACACCACCATGTTCTTCCCCGTCTTGCTACTGATCGGAGGAAACAACCACCACCATCTTAACCCACCTAATTTTTCGAACACCTCCTCCACCTCCCCATGTCGTGACCCACCACCAGCAAACACCCTTCCCAAATACCTTCGGACCATAACCTTGCTCCTCCCAGCCCTCTCTCTCGTCGAGCTCTTCTGAAAAGAAAGGAAACGAAGGTAGTGAAGCTGCCACCACAACTCCGTCACCACCCACCGTTGTAAAACCTACTTCACCACCTACCACCGTTGTGACTGTTGGCAAAACCCACTTCACCACCCACCACCCACCAAACACCTCCATCATGTCGTAACCCACCACCACCAAACGTCATCATTGTTGCTGCTTCGTCTTGGTCCCTCGTCGAGCATCCACCAACAAAAATTAAGCAGCAAGGCTGTCCACAGCCACCAACTGCAGCCACCTATCGTTGCCCTTCCACCGTTGGATCAAGTAGAAGAAGAAGAGAAGGTGGGGTTAGGATCGTTTCTTCTCATCCTGACGCAGACTAAGTCGGAGGAGGAGCGATCATCGTCTGAAATCTTCGAGCTTCCTTTTGATGCGTTGTTGAATGCAATCGATGGTGGGAGGATCGAGCGGAGTCATTGAAGGCTAACAAGTGGCGACTGCTTGTATATGTGGAGTGTGTGTATTTATATGTGTGTATCGTGGAGTGTATGTAGGTTCTTTATGGTGATCAGGGGGAGGACGAAGAGAGAGAGAGAGAGAGAGAGAGAGAGGGAGGTGGGTCCGGTTTTATATTTAATAATAATAATAATTTTAAAAAGTAAAAGAAAAATGAAAACTAAATTCATTAAGGGTATAATAGTCTTTTTAGTTTGGACAGGGACCAAAACTGCATGTAAACTAGCTCAAAATGACCACCAATCCAAAAAAGTCGAGGTTTGGACTAAAACCCCAAAAAAATGCATACTACAGGGACCATTTTTGCAATTTTGTCTAGATAAAATTGCAAAAACAGTCTTTGTGGTTGGCAAATTTATGTACTTTTGGTCCAAAACGAAATGTTGTTGCACCATTGGTCCAATTTTGAATATCTTGTGCGACTTTGGTCTCTATGATTGACATTTTTGTGTGGTTTTAGTCCACACCCAACATAAAAAGACGGATATGCCCTTATATTTCTTTTACTAATTTCCTTTTTATTTTCTTATTATTAAAAGAAAAAGAAATAACACCCACCCCACCCCTCGTACTCACCTTTAACCCCCCCCACACACATACACACACACACACACACACACTCTCTCTCTCTCTCACACACACACATACACACAGCAACACCATCACCGGTCACCCTAACCACCATTTGTTAGACCTCCACCTGCCGGACAACCATCTTTTCATTTCTAGATCTGCAAAACGAGACCAGTGTCATCATAACACCCCTTTTCCACTACCGACGTTCATCGTTGTCACCTCCCTTCACTGCCTCCGAGTCCGACACCATCACCCCTTACCATCCATACCCTCACCGGCGACCATTATACCACCAGAATCGACAGAAAACCATAGTCCTGCCGTTAGAAGACCACCAACACCACATGTGGGATCTGCCATGGAAAGCCTCAAAAAAATCCCACCTTCTTTCTCTCTGCTCTATCTCCGATCATCATCTATGAGACTGGAGGATATGGTGGCTCAACAACTGAGAATCGAGAAATCCAACCCATCTTTCCATTTGAAACGAACCTTTCGATCAAGACTAAGTTCATTTCATCTATCTGAATCTAATCATCAGCAAAACCATTTTGATTACCAAATCGACGCAGTGAAATTCGTACCACTGAGATCGACAACAAATTGAAAACCATTAATCAAGATCTAAATGATTTAAACATACATAAATATGACAGATTCTAGAAAATGAAGAGCACGATGTGAGGAAAAACAAAAATATTAAAATCAGTATCCACTGTGTTTGATGCTCAAATAATAACCATCTTCGGCCACCATCATCTCTCTTCTCTGTTTTTCAGTAACAATCTGTGTAAGAATAACAGTGGTGAAGGAGAGCTTTTTCAAATTTGAGTTTTTCAGATCTGAGGAGAGGTCTCATCGAGTTAAGGCCAAGGAGATATGGAGGTAAGGGTAGGGAGATGAAGGTGGTTAGTGGCGGATGGTTGTAGCGAACGGTGATGGCTAGAAAATGGTGATGCCTGTGTCGACTTCTCTGTCATCACCGTTGCCCCTTTCTTCCACTGGCTCTATGGTGCAGAACGAAGTCTGTCACCGCTCCTTCCCTAATGTAGGAACATATTCGTGGCGTCTGGTGGTGCTGGAGGATGGTGGTGGCAGTGTGGGTGTTCTTGAATGTGTTTTCTCGAAAGAGAGAAAGAGAGATGAGAAGTGAAGAAGATGAAAGCTACCACCAGAGAGAGAGAGAGAGAGAGAGAGAGAGAGAGAGAGAGAGAGAGAGAGAGAGAGAGAGAGAGAGAGA